TGGCTCAACACCACCTGCTGTTTCATTTTAGAGCCTCGTCGGGCAGGAGGAGACGCGCGGTCACACTGAAATATACTACGATATGTAGCCGCGCTCGGCTTTGTTTTGAAAATACTGTGTCACATTTGGTTCGACAAACGTAAATTTTCTAAAACCACTGCTGCAGCAAGGATAAATAGCAAGTTTTGCCGTGAGTTTAGTCAGTGCTTAGTTTTTTGTTTGTTAAATGAAATATCTGCTTAGAATTTCCGCCATGGAATGGATCGTGAAAGCAGATGATACGAAACGCGAGTGGCAATGTTACATAACTTCGTAAAGTTTGTTCCTGCGCACGAAATTAGTTATGTGTCGTTCTACTGCTCTCTTGTATTAACTATTAGGTACCTTCACGACTTAAGCACAGCACGGCTAATGTTTTTCACTTGGAGAGGAGAGAGGGGGGGGTCTTCTTTCTTCCTCTGGCCCAGCGCGCTGGCAGCCGCTGCGGTAGAGGAGCGCCTTGCGAGTAGACAATCCCGCCACACACGTCTGCCACGGCAATGCCTACCTGGCAGGCGCTGAAAGAGCCCGACCTTTTGTTATGAACCCACGGGCAAACCTTTTATCACTGTATTTTTCGTAGACGATTGACGAAACGTGCACTACTTGCGTCTCTTTCAAGTGTGAGAATGGTCTTATCGTGCTAATTGTTTTAGAATAAATTTCTCTCAAGGAGACTGGAATTTGCATATTATTTACACCATTTACAAAATTAATGCGATGAGCCTTAATAAACTTCCATTCGCTCTTTCTGATACATTCATTCTCGTTCAACAAATAATGAGTAAGAAAATCTTGCCAGCGTGGACCCACGGGAGAGTACTCTCATTCGAAACCTAGACACGCGACATACTGCATTCGTACCAGCAGGTACCCTTCCTTTATCGAACCGCCACTAGAAAATGATTCCGCTTGCATCAAAACAACAGCAATGTCGTCATGTCGACCGCGAGGACTTTTAAACTTTTTGAAGAGGCGGGCGCGGACGCGCCAACGCACTACCGGAACTCGGTGGGCGGTATCCGGTCGACACTCGCTCGAGGAAGGAAGGCGAGTTGGTTGTCAGTTGCACTTGCACTTGTCTGTCAAAACGTCAGACGACCCAGGTTGTCGGTCGTTGAAGGGAGGTGTCGACTGGTTCATTTAATTGGAGAATCATTGGAGACGCGGGCACCCGCTGATAGAACTCCTGTTGATAACAGCGTCCTCTTCAGCTACGTCCGTCCGGTGTTGACGCTCCAACTTTACAATGATGGTGGGTTGTGTTCACTCTTGGTTCTTTAACCAAACTTTTGACATTTTACGCCGCCTCCCTAAAACTCGGTAATGTTCTTTTATTTTTATGTAACCATATTTACTTATTGCTGGTTACTTCTCGATTGCTGAGGCTGGTCACCCCATCTCACTACATTTGCTCTCCCCATTAAACTATTCACTTCATGTTGTCATGGATAAGGTCTTTCTCAGAGTTCAAATTTAATTTGTTTTGTAGGATGGTGTTGAAGATGCTTCAGAGGACTCGCGAAAGGTAAGACTCTACTCGTCAATAGAATCACATATTTAGTTAAATTTGTAGCTTGCTTTCACATTAACTAATTTTATTTCTCTTTTTACAGGGAGTAAGATCAGATACAGTTGACTTAACTGATAATTCTTTAGTTGTTGATATCTCTGATGCCCTAAGCGAAAAGGAAAAAGTGAAATTCACAGTTCATACCAAGGTAAGTTTCTGTGTGGAAACAATGTCTTGTTGACTACCTTTATATTATTAGTTGAGATTCAGATTCAGAGTTCACAAACCGCTAGCCTGATTCTCACTCACTCACTCCTCGTGAGCCTCACAAAGCCGAACAGATTGACTTGCCTTGCAGTAAAATCACGGCTGGTTTAACAAATGCATTTGCGTTTTGTGATCTCTGTATTCACACTCATACTTGTTCTGATCATTTATATCACTCATTTAAATATACAATGGAATTGCAGACAACTCTCCCAGAATTTCAAAAACCTGAATTTTTAGTGGTTCGCCAACATGAAGAATTTGTCTGGTTGCATGATAGGTTTGAAGAGAATGAGGTTTATGCTGGATACATAGTAAGTTGTTACACGTCAAGGTTAAAGCTCTTGAACCGCACTTAAACATCAACAATGTAATTACTTTTTCATGTTTGATATAGATACCCCCAGCTCCCCCTAGGCCTGATTTTGATGCATCTCGAGAAAAACTTCAGAAGCTTGGTGAGGGTGAAGGCTCCATGACTAAAGAAGAATTTTCTAAGATGAAACAAGAACTGGAAGCGTATGTCTTTTGGGAAATTTGTTGATTGTTTGTTTTTAGAAACATTTTTATAAGATTGGTATCTTTTCCCTCCCCCGACAGTGAGTATTTGGCAACTTTCAAGAAAACTGTTGCCATGCATGAGGTGTTTCTTTGCAGACTCGTTAGTCATCCAATTTTCCGCAATGACCACAATTTGCGAGTGTTTTTGGAATATGATCAGGTAAGCTTCTGAAGTGTAGATAAAGTAGTTGCTAAAATTGTTTTCATCCATCTATTTGGGTTGATTTTCTATATTTTTCCCTTAACTCTCTTTCAGGATTTGTGTGTTAGAGGGAAGAATCGAATGGAGATGCTGGAAGGCTTCGTAAAATCTTTTTCAACAACAAGTGATGAACTTCTACTATCAGCTACTGTAAAAGATGTAAATGACTTTTTTGAACAAGAGAAACTTTTTCTTCTGAAGTATTACAACCATTTAAAAGAGGCAACAACAAAGTCAGATAGTATGACCAAGAAACACAAAGGTAATTTTTGTTCTGAGTATTATTTTGCACTGTACATTCTAGACAAGGAGAATGTTATCATTAAAAAGTCTCCTTCTCATTCCAGATGTGGCTGACTGCTTCATTAAAGTGCATACAGGCCTCGTACAGCTCTCGGCTACTGATCCTGATCTGGGCAAATCACTCACTAAAGTTGCTGAAGTATTTGAAAAAGCTCGGGTATATAAGATACTGACGTATGGTATTGCAACTCCAAGTGAATGTTTACATCCTAATTGATTTTGAAATATCTGCTATCTTACAGAAAGTTGAGGGAAGAGTTGCTTCAGACGAGGACTTGAAGTTATCAGATCTGTTGCGGTATTATATGCGTGACACATATGCTGCTAAAAGATTGCTATACCGCCGTCTGAGATGCTTGGCCAATTATGAAACTGCAAATAGGAATCTGGAAAAGGCTCGTGCCAAAAACAAAGATGTCCATGCTGTAAGTATATTATGCATCTAGGTTTTTAATCTGTGGATTTAATTGGTGGAGGGAGAATTTATTTTAAGAGGTTTACCTTCACCCAGCCATTTCAATTAAACTATAATTGATCAAAGTGCAAAGTGTGCTCATAGATAAATTAAATTTTCAATCTCAGTTTAAGTATATTTCATTCAATATGCAATATGCTGCAAGTTTTATGGCTTATAAATTAGGAACTAATGGGCCTTTCTTGGTGCTGTGTTTCTTGTAGGCAATGGAGGTAGCTGAAGTGAGTATTTGGATGAAATTTTTATGATCAAATTTACGTTTTTTCTTTTTCTCAGTTTTTTGATTTTCATGGGTTTTAAGGCACTTAACAATTAAGATATACTGTAGAGAAAATGCTTTTCTCATTGACCCAAAATAGTTCAAACAGTTTTGAGTTGTTGGTTGATCTGGTTCAAGTTGCACTATGTGCATCAACAATTAAAATACCTAATTGCCTGTACATAAGGGACTTTTATTTTGTGTGTTATTCTGGTTAAGGAGTAACGCATGCTGTGTTATTTTACACACAGAATTGGCTCTGTTGCTCTTAAATTGTTATGGGGCTTGTTTAGAAAGGGAAACATTTTGTCATTTCTATGGTATCTATTGGTATGATGTAGTAATGTGTTATATTTTTCACTTTAGTATGACAATATTGCTTGGTATATTTGGTTGGAGGAATGTGTAATACGTTTACTTATTTATCATTCATTGATTAGAAAATGTTACCTAGGTATTTAGTTCTATGCTTGTGGTACATATGTTAGATTGAAACATTTAACTGGCTGTTGTTCTAGATACTGTGTTTGCCTTGGTTTGTGGTGCTTTTACTCTTATTTTATTTTGCTTTTCTGTTACAGGCTGAGACTGCTCAGAAGGTTGCATGTGAGAAGTTTGATCAGATGTCCGATAAAGGAAAAGAAGGTAAGAAAGTTTTTAATAATCATAGAAAGCCAGTGGTCAATTTCATTCACACACTTAGTCTTCTATGTAATACCTATCAATAATAATATCACAAATTTTCAGAACTCATGGACTTTAAAACAAGAAGAGTCATTGCATTCCGGAAGCATCTCATTGAATTAGCCGAGCTAGAAATAAAGCATGCAAAGGTAAATTTCAACTCTCAGCATGTATTAAATGAAAAACAATAAATTACTCTAAATTATATTTTTCAATTTTTTACAGTCTCAAGTTCAACACTTCAAGAACTGTTTGGCAAGTTTGAGGGATGAAGAATAATCATGAGATAAGCATTGAACAGATTTTTGAGGAACAAGACTTATGTGTATACTTATTTTTTTATCATAGAATTCAATATGCCTGTATTCTTGAAATTATATTTTATTGTGAATGTTAAAACTAATTGTAAACATAATCCAAAGTTATTCTTGAAATCATGCTTGTAACCAAGCCTGTGTTGCTGTATATTTTTTTAGTTATGCATTTTCCTTTCTTCAAATTTTTCGTTACTATTTGAAGTCAACTTTTTCTTGAGGCAGTATCAAGTTTAGCACTATTGTATGGAATGAGAACATAACTTTTTGTTTTGTTTTTGGTTTTACAATGTTGTCCTGACCTCTAAAAGTATTTGAGGGCATCTTTTGTTTATCCTTATTTCTGTTTTTGTATGATACAATGTATTTTACTCTGTCAACATCTTTGTTAGTTAATGGTGCCTTTACAGTTGGTATCTTTTTATTTAATGGTATTGAAAACTATTGTGCATTCCATGTTCATGCAAAATGTGATAACTTACTTTGCAAACTTGATTGAAATTTTGATGCTGAACTATGTGGGGACGCAAACCCATGTTAGAGGTAGTTTTAGCCTGTTCCCGGTGGTTTTCTGTATTGAGTACCAAGAAGTTGCCTGCAGTTTTGAGGTTTGTGGGCTTGCTTAAATGATCTGTTCCAATGTGAAAGTGTATTTGTTCATACCCTGTATCAACTAGGGGTGACACATAATTTTTCTACAAACCTAGTGTTATGTCTTTGTTATAAATTTGAATTATATAGAATGTTATACATGTTTCTATATACATATATATATTTACATGGAGAGGAGAGGTTGATTTTCCTATAAACCTTCGTTTTCAAACGAATGACTGGGAATGATTAATGTCTGATTTTTACTCGTCATTTCTAGCCTGAAATCGTTGTGAATAAGTTTGGTGCATTTTAATGCCCTGCAGTAAGTAAAGTTTGTCCAGATTTATACCAACGCTTGCGCTGTGACACAAAAGTACTACACTTACTGTTCTTAAGGTTACTGACTAGATTAGAATGTTGAGTCCCATGTGGGTACATGTCGGCCGTGTTTTTTTTTTTTTGCTGAAAAACACCACCTCTTTAATTTGGTCTGTGACTCAATGTGTTCCAAGTACCAAAGTCAGCTACATATCTCTTTTGCCTGCAGTGCCATCATACTCTCTTATGGTTTTCGTTTGTTCTGCATGATGAATGTTGAATGTAGTACAAAATTCACAAGGGCTTGTACAAAACAAATTGCATTTATTTTGTGATATCATTGAACATTTGAGCTGGTGGCATCAAACATTTCTCTTGGTATCATTTTATGGCTATGCTAAGCAAATCACAACCTTCAGTTTTAAGATAGTGAAGGTTGTTGCTCAAATTATTACTGCTTCCTAACTTTGTGGGTCAAGGAAGATAAAGAAAATGATTATAATGGCTGTCATATTGTCTTGTCTTAATACTCCATGATCCTCCTCTAATATCATGCTACTGCATTCTGTTAGAAAATACTAAATACGTAACCTAAAAATCTTTTAAGCAATTTGCATCAGAATCAAAGAAATTCCCTCTCAGTAGAGAACAACTTAAATAGTTCAGGTCATTTATTTGACTGCACATGAAACCAGCATGTATAACAATTTCTCTTGAGTGAGAAGGCTAAGTGCACAGCACTCATCTCCCTTTCCATGGCAGGAAAATTAAATAATTAAATTACATCACTTTGAATTGAAACAAGGGATTAAAAATAAAAACTTTGGTGATCCTATTTTTTAAAAGGATTATAAGAGAAGCACATTTCCTGTCGAACTTTACTTTGCTTTTCCTTGAGAAGCCACAGCCTCCATAGCCTTCTTCACAGTTTCTTCATCACCCAAGAACTTCATTGATACGACTGGTTTGAAGTCCTTGTCAAGCTCATATACAAATGGAATGCCAGTGGGAAGGTTCAGACCCATAATAGCCTCGTCACTCATATCTATTCAAAAAAATCATATTGCTTTAGAAAACATACAAAGGGAAGTAGACATAAAGGGTAAAACACAAAACTTACTGTCGAGGTGTTTGACAATGCCACGCAAACTGTTTCCATGGGCGGCAATGATGATCTTCTTGCCAGCCTTCAGTTGAGGAATGATAACATCATTCCAATAGGGCAGGGTGCGCTGAATGGTCAGTTTGAGACTCTCAAACTTAGGGAACTCAGCTTCAGAGGGGCCGTTGGCATAACGGGCATCTTTGACAATGGTTTCATAGTATGGGTGATCAGCTTCCATAGGAGGTGGTGGAATGTCAAAGCTGCGTCGCCAGATTTGGACCTGAAAATGGAAAACATTTGTTCAAGTTTATAAATCACAACTCATTAAGAATTTGTTAAAATTAAAAGAAAGTCACAGTAAAATTTTACCTGTTCCTCTCCATACTTGGCAGCTGTTTCAGATTTATTTAAGCCTGTCAGACCACCATAGTGACGCTCATTCAAACGCCATGATTTTTCGACAGGTAAATCAGACTGGCCAATGCCCTGAAGAATGGCTGCCAATGTTTTCTGGGCACGAGTTAAAACGGATGTATGAGCTATGTCAAATTGGTAGCCACTCTCTTTCAGAGCTTTGCCAGCGCTGACAGCTTCCTCTTCACCTGCAGAATAAAAGAGAATTAGAAGATGACAACATTGCAAAGTCGCAAAACTAGCAAACATTGTATTGGCTCAAAAGTATAGCTGGGAGGGATCCCTATTTGGCAGGAGAATCACTTGTAACAGAAGTAAACAAAAGGAGACCAATCGCTAAACGCACCCAAAGAAAATTAATGTCAAACAAGAAATATATGATCACTGACATAACCTACCCTTCTACAAATTAAGATTATTTTTCAGCAGTAAGGTATAGTGAGATAAAACTACAGAAACCACTGTTGAGATGCACTCAAAGTGAACACCTGAAGGGTAAGTGTCAGCACCCTTAAGCTTAAGACTTCTGCTGGATGAACTTACCCTTGGGGCTGAGGTTTGCATCATACCAGCCGCAGAACAAGTTCTTCTGATTCCATTCGCTCTCACCATGCCTCACCATAACAATTTTGTAGGCACTCATGGTGTGGAAGTGTTGTCTTTGACTTAGAAAACGGCGAAACAACGTTCTTGGCTTCTCCGCAAAGTGCCCTTGAAGAAGACGAGCTGGCGACGGGGCTGGTGCTGGTGCTGCGGCGGCGGGGTGAGCGGGGAGGCGGTGGATGGTGGGCGGGGTGGGCGGGGTAGCGAAGTCACGTTTGGAACACGCGCGCGCTCGAGGAACGCACGCGGAAGCAGCTGACAGTGCGGGTTGCCGACAGCACTGAGGGAGCGGGAGGGCCAGCTTAGGTCCGAGCATTTCAAAAAGCCGGGTATTACCCCCAAAACGAGCTCGAAAAATCCCTGAAAATTAAAATCAATGGATCGATAGGGACAAAAGACAAGCAGGCGCCCGGAACAGGGCCGCCAACCGCGGCGCGTCACTTCGAACAGACGCGCGAACAGTCACCCGGGCTGAACGCAATACCTTTCTTTTTTCATTTCCATTTTGTTTTGCTGCTGGCGTGCTTCATCCTATTAGATAAAAGCTGCTAACAGAGTACATCGCTCGCACTCGCACCGCCGTTCTAGACAGAGGGCGGCGGTCGGTGGCCAGGCCGGCTGTCAGCACACTCGGCGCGTAGGTTGGGCTGCCTATCCCGCACGGCGCTCCGGGACCATCGAGCATCGCTGCTCTCTCAGAGCAGACGCAGCTGACAAAGCGAGAGCTTGAGAAATGAGCAAGCCTTTCTCAAGGCGAGAGGACGACAACTACACTCTCGGGCCTCATGGAAAATGAGTTAATTTTTATTCGTTCACACTTTTCGAGATGTATACAAATACTTTTTAATCCTGCCACCGACCGTTCCACACATCTAACGACCGTGCTTCAAGGGGGCTATACGACAAAACGGTGTTGCGGGTTTACATACCAAGGGACCATGGCGCCTAACGGGAAGAGCGAGTAAGACAACCGAACACAGCACACTGTTGTGTCGTCGCCCTGACATTCAGACACTCGGATTCCCGGGTGCATTGGCAACGCATTTTAATGGTATTTGAGGCTCTGCTCATTATGTGCAGTTGGCTGACGGGGTGGTGCGCCACAGCTGAAGCCACAGCTAAAGCCTCAGCCACCCCCAGGAGGAGGCCCGCGCAGCCACCTCGTGCCATGAGCCCAACATGGCGGGGCGTTCAAAAGTCGATTAGTGTCAGCGGGCGGGGCGAATCATGGCATGACAGCGCCAAATGAGCCCCGCCAGCGCCATGAGCAGAGTGAGCGTGGCCGCGCGGGAAGCAAATGGCAGCCATGAGGTGGGAGGGGGGGGGGGGGGGAGGGTACCGCCCTCCGGGAGCAGAGCGGCGCGGCCCCCCCAGAGCCGCAGCGCACGGATTCACCCGAAAAGAATGCCAACGGGGCGGAGGAGGCACCATGCCGCTTGCTGCTGCTGCTGCTGCCGCTGCTGCTGCAAACGACGAGAAAATAACGCCCTGTTCCGATTGCAGTCACGCTAAGGTGTTATGCGCTGCTACACTGCCTAGACACTGCGTAACCCCCCCCCCCCCGCCAGCCCTAGCCCTGGCAACCCCCCCCCCCCCCCCCGCCAGCCCTAGCCCTGGCAATCGCGCATTGTGAGTTTCAAACTCACGGACCACGGACCATAGTGTCGTCGTCGTCAACTGTCAATGGCCGTGCGCAAAGCAAAATTACAGATTTTTGGTAAGTAAATCTATAGTAACATGTATGTAAACAAGAGAGGACCCGTCCTGCGTATGAGAAGAACAAAAACTCCGGAAGCGCCATTGTTTTATCCACACGCGGGGTAGATTTAGATTTCTCATGCTAACCTTTTATGGTTTGTTTCGAAAGTAGGGTATCATATAAGTAGAAAGTCATGGTAGTTACTTACGGTGGTTTTGTTCTTCTAATAAGTTACGCACGGGACAGGTAATCTATTTTGATGCGATATGTTTTTGCTGAAGTCGGAAAGGAAGCCCCTTTCGAAACCGCCTTTTAAGCCGCTGAGAAAAGGGTATTTTGGAAACGTTCTGGGAACGTTTTTCAAGTGAGCTCACGGTGAGCTCAACGTGAGCTCTCCAATCGCACCCCTGATCTGATAACATTCCGCAAGCGAGCTCATGTTGACCCCGCTAGCTTCCAGCCTAGGGCCAGGGTGCATCATCAGCACTTTGGGTCAGGCACGCACGGCGCAGCCGTGCAGCCAGACGGCAGTTCCGCACCACTCGTCCTGCGCGACGGATCACCCGGATACTCGTTCGCGATTGCGTACCCCTCCGCCCTGCGTGGCGGACCACCAGCAAATCGCGCCCTAAGTTGAACCACCGATCAGAAATATAGAGTGCAGTGCAGCCACCGGCATGGCATTCATCAACCAGAGTTGCTTGCCACTCCTCCACCCGGACTTCCAATCTCAACGGTACACTCACCGTCAGTTGTTAGTTGTGAGATGCGCTGTAAAAGTGGTAAACGCGCGCGGGCTGCGGGGCCTGCAGCTGACACCGCCGGCCCAGTCGCCAGCAAGCAGCCGGGTGGCGGGACACTTCACCTTCACCGGACACCTGAAGAGGTTAGTTTTCTCTGATCTGGGGGCCCTAGCCGGCCGCACGAGGTGGACACGATGGACGATGCTTGATGGATCGCCGGCCCGGTACCGGTCGGTACGGCGGGACTCGTGGAGGACGACAGTCAGTTGTGTTGTAGTCGGGACGGGACGACGGGGTCGAGGAGGAGCGGGGGGAAAGGAAGGGCGGGGGGAGCGATAGGAGATGATCGAGGATAAGTGATGCTGTTGCAGCGGCGGCGGCGGCGGCGGCTCTGAGGACCGCAGACTGGGATAACAGTGAAGGTCCTGTGTGTGAGTGTGTGCGTGTGTGTGCGTGCATGTGCATGTGTGTGTGTGTGCAGACTGGGCGAGAACGCTTTGGGGATTAGCCGGCGGCCCCGGCTGCAGCAAGCCCACCCGGGGCCCACCCCGCGGCGCCGCCGTACGGCAAAGCGAAAAGCACCTACCACCACCGGGGGGCGCAGAAAGAAAGAAAGAAATAGATCGGCGCAAACAAAAAACACACGCCATCTCTTTTTGGCACACACACCGCCGTGTCTGTGTATGTGCTTCTCTGGCCGGCGTCGGCGTTGTATATGTTGTATTACTGCTGCTGTACCTTCGCCCCGTGATACCGATCCCGTCCCACGACTTTTCTGGCTCGTCGTTGTAGTGTAATGTACGGCACGACACACTGTAGTATCACCGCCGCGATTGTTACGCGTCCGACACGTCGTCGCAAGGCGTCGTCACCACCACCACCACCGTCTCTGTCTCTTGCGCGCAGACATTTCGCGGGTAGAGGAGGGGATTGATTTCACCCCCAACGGGGAATATAGCCTAGGTGCGTGGACATTACCTCGATAACCATGGATGGTAGGAGATTGTGTGTGTGTGTGTGCGCGTGCGCCTGCGTGTGTGTGTGCGTATGCGTGCGTGTGCGTGTGCGTGTGTGCGTGTGCGTGTGCGTATGCGTGTGCGTATGTGCGTGCGTGCGTGCGTGCGTGCGTGTGTGCGTGCGTGCGTGCTCGGCGCGGCGCTCTGATGGGTGGCAGGGGCGCAATCAACCAACCATTGTGTCCCGTGTGTGTGAGGTGAGCCGTCGAAAGGTGTGTGTGTCGGTGCGCTCCTGCGCACCGAGCGCTGCCATATATGAGTGACCTTATGCCCTGAAAAATTATTACACTCATTATCCGCTCAAAATTTGATTGTGTCTTTGTAATTTGTGTTGTTCTAAACGCCCTTGTATTTTAGACAGTCCCCAAGACTGTCGTTGCCAGATGGAGAAAATGTGCCCCCCCCCCCACCTCCCGCCTTAAAAGAATCAATCGGTAATCGAGTTTGAAAGCAGATGGTTTATTGAAGGCATAGACATTGGTTTGTACGAATATATTAGCAATCCTTAATTGCACTTGAAAGTAAGCTGCATGCACTCAACCCGTGATGGCAGAGCGTTGCAGGGATATGTCACGCCCTGAGGAATGTGAAATGATATTCTAAACAATGTTACACCGTGAAAGCAGATGATAATTTCATCTCAGAACTATGTTCTAATTCTCTCTCATATTTAGAAATGTTTGGCTTGCAATCCGGTGACGTAGCTCCTAGCGTCGTACATGAGGGGAGGAAAGAGGTAGAAACGGTAGAAAGCAGAGCGGGGGAAGGCCCAGTATTGTTGGATTTAGTCGGGCTATGGTGCTACGCAAGATTGGCACTACTAGGTGAGGCAATCTAGTGTGGGGCACGACATGCCGGCCACAGTTTGGGCCCCCTACAATAATTAGTCACCTATGCCTTTCTACTCGAAACCCGAGAATACAAGCATTCAGACACATTTAAGTATGTTGGTCTAATAAAAATTATTTTGAGTGTGTCATCTGATTAAAAGGGGTCCAGCTTCACCGTAATTATAATCCTAGAGAAACGTTTAGTCGCATTTAGTAATATAATGAATCCAACAGCACTAAAATTTAGTAGTTACTGGGCAAAGTTTTCTAGCCAAAAGTTTACAGTGCATCGTCGTATCTTGCACGACTGGAGCTAAGGGGCGGGCGCCATCTCCGCAGGACATGCAGAGAGGCCGAGCAGGTTCCCCGGGGCAAGGGAGGGGGGCGGGAGGAGGAGGTCGCGGCACCCCCTCCCAACCCTCTATCCCCCGCCTCTGTTTGTGTTGGGCCGCGCTGGGCAATGGAGCCACGACTTTCTTTGTGACGCGCTGGTGCGCGCTGCGCTGGTGTCGGCGGCGGGCCTTTGCATCTTGAGCCGCCGTGTGACAGCAGGCGCAGCATAGCGTCAGCGTGCAGCAGAGGTCCTTGCTGCGCCAACAAGGCCTGGTCAGGTAAGGGTGCAGCACAACTTATACTGTGTGTGTGTGTGAGTGTGGGTGGGTGGGTGTCCGGAGCACACGGAGGAGGAGGAAACAAAAAACAAGTAGAAAATCAGAGTGCAGTGTTGCGGGTTGCCGGGGTGTTTGTCCAGGACTCGCTCCACCCGACCGACCCCCGCGAGCCAAGAAAGTGTTTGCAACCCCGCAACACTGCAGCGTATCGGCTCTAAAACACCAGGCAATACTTATTGGTGTAGATTTGTTTTATAGACT